GAAAAAAAAGATTATTATATTTTCAAAAACATTTTAAAAAAATATATTCCTGACATGCTCTGAGGTCCAAAAGATTCAAAAGCCCTTGTTCCAGTGGACTTGGTCATGACACTTATTTTGTTATATATTTTCCATCAAATCTTCATGAATGAGTTGAAATGAAAGTCCAACTTGCTTAGTGCTTCTTCAGCTGAAATGCTCTGTGTTTCTTGTTTTAAACATGAGCTGGCTTCACAGATGTGCACAGCGGCTACCAGGCAAGTTTGACACCAATTCAAGCTCTTCTCCTTCTGCTCTCAGCAAACCCGACAGAAGTGCCATGTACAAACGTCATGTACTGCACCAATCTGGCAATAAACATACCCAATCCAGGAGGAGTCACATTTCAGACCTGGCTTATTCTTGTCATATAGCCATTGAGTAAATAAATCGGGTTCAAATGCTTACTAAGTCTATTGGGAAAGTCCTTTCTATAATCTTGACATAATAATAAAAATGATACAGTAATCTTACATATTTATATTGCGCTTTGCATTTCAAGGAATGACCATTTTGGGCCAGGAACCCTGTGGAAACTGTGACTTTGGGGCAGGGATTTTGTCTGCCCTAGTGCCACGCAGTGTTGTGCCAGTTCACAGCTTTTCTGAACTAGTTCAAGTTCAGTTCATCCATGCTCAAAGTGAACAGTTCACGTTCAAAGTTCACATTTTTAATTCTGAACTAGTTCAAAGTTCAGTTCATTTTACTTTTTTCGTGAGATATTTAAATACATATTTTTTTCACACTACGAGCTATATATATATATATATCCTGTACACCCACAGGAGGAGAGCCTTTTGACTACAAAACAGACCAGATTTACATGTTTTTCAATGGGAGCAAAACGGAGTGGTCCCATCTCTGCTCATAAACTACAGACAGTAATGCGCTGCAGTGCGTGTGTCTATACTTTATGTCAAATGTAAACGGTGTAAACATTGTCGCTAACTCACCCTGTGTTTTCATCACGACTCAGGCACATGTGAAAAGCACCAGCTCACAGCGCCGCACCGCAACACGGAGTCGGGGTGCGTTCACAGACGGTGGAAACCGTAGGAATTTTTAGATTTCGGCGGAAAAGTGCGAGAATACAGGAGGGAGGAACTTTCTCTCGTTGCGTTTCAAAAGAGAAAACAGATTCCAACGTTCATAGTGATGTCTGCCGTTCATGACACATAAAATGAACTAATTCACGTTCAAGTTCTTTTTAAAAAAATGTGTTGCGTTCAGTTCAACGTTCACGAAAAAATGAGCGTGTTCAATGAACGCGTTCTTTTGAACTCGTTCACGCACAACACTGGTGCCACGTAACTCATGAAAATGAACCTGAGGCGCAAATTCAGACTGAAAGACCGGCCACGGCTCTCACCCGTCCAGGGCCAGCCAATCACACAGCCTCTCGAGCCCCGCCAATCGCACAGCGCTGCCAGCCTCGAGCCTCTGCCAATCACATAGCCTGGCCAGCTCCTTGACAACCCACTGACAGCAAAGCGGGCAGTTTAAAAGCAGCCACTCCCCGATAAACAGCGCTTCCTGAAGCTCTTAACACCCACCACCTCCCCAGCACCTCCTCAGCTCCTGGTTCCTACTCGGGTTTCCGCTCTGGCTCCTGCCCTGGCTCCTGCTCTGGCTCCTGCTCCGCCTGCACCCCATTCACACCATGCTTCTATATCAACATAATACACTAAAGAGAACATTCAGCATTTTCATTCAGAAGATCGTCAGTGCGAATGAAGATTATACCAGCTCTTGGTCTGTTTTGGAACAATATTCTATTACGGTTAACAGCTTAATAACGATCACTCTACCCAATAGGAGTCCTTTAAGCCAGTTTGGTAATTATAAAAGGATTTATCTTTAGACTTTATTAAGCCAGTGCAGGTCTAGCATAGGTTTCTGTGGCAGTTTCTTATCAATTCTTAAAGGAAAGAGTTTGTTGCGTCTTTGCCAAATGTCTCTCTCGAGTGCAGTGACACACTCTTCATTTCATGTGACTTGAAGAAATTATAAGTGCAACATGCAGCAGCTCCACACTCACCCTAAACGCAGCAGCTCACTGTTACACACACACTTTCTTTCCATCACAACAATCCTATCCATTTGACTTTGTGTCATACTGGCTTAAATAAGATGACTCCACCAATCATCAATGTAGACGTGCATTAAAATATCCCCTCATTATTCACAAAATGCTTTATACATTAGTGCGCAAGAGACACACACACACACACACACACACACACACACACGCAGATACCAGCAACATCTCAGCTGTGGCCCATCGTCAGAAAACTTTCTCAAGTGAGTCAAGGAATAGTATAAATCTTTTTAAGTAGAGTCTAGAGAAAAAAATATGTTTTTTTTCTCTAGACTCTAGAGAGAGACAATCTTTGTGGCCTATATTGCCTATTTTTACTTGCACAGACTGTTATAGCAAAAAGTGATCAAATGTGAAGTAATAATTGCTTTAAAGCTGCACTAACTGACTTTCTTTTTGTATTCATTACAAAAATGCAATCCATGTCCATGCAGTGCATTGGGATATACGTCCTTTTGAAGAAAAAGTAGCGCAGATTTGTGCTGCCGTGACATTATATTTTAGATCGAGTTTTGATGAAACAAGGAAGAGAATGTGTTTCGGGTCGCAGATTGTGACCAATCACAGCGGACCACTAGCCCCCACTTTTGTGAGAAATATACAAGTCCGTTGTTAGCACAGACAGCCGAGTTAGCACAGACAGCCGAGTTAGCACAGACAGCCAAGTTAGCACAGACAGCCAAGTTAGCACAGACAGCCGAGTTAGCACAGACAGCCGAGTTAGCACAGACAGCTGAGTTAGCACAACAAGCGGCGGAGCTAACCTGAAGCTTCCTTGTCTTTGTCACCTGTTACAGCTTACACAGCGAGACAGCCATCCAAAAGAAACTCGTTCCTCCGCGCTTCCCGGTTCTCGTTCTATGGTCACGCCATCCACATGCAAATCCATATCCATGTATTATCCATATTGGGAGACGCTAGCTCCGTAAACAACAGTGGGTGTGCAGTAGTGGGGGGCGATAGCTTTGTGGGTGCGGGGAGGGGAGGAGAAAGAGCGAGGCCAGCGAGTTCGCTGCTTCAAAATCCCAAAGTCAGTTAGTGCAGCTTTAACTAAGTGGTTTTTTATCTTAATTTAAGTACATTATGATTGTCAAGATTTGCCAATGGGACAAAGCCCTTTAGTCTTGTTTCAAGAACTGTTGCTTTGTTTTCCCATTACAAGGGAGGGAGACATTTCTTGTATCTTAAAGATAATTTTGCTTGTCCCATTGGCAAATCTTATTTGAAGGTATTTAGATTGTGCTCAAATTAAGATACATTTTGCCAAATGTTAGCAATTTTTGACTTATTGTTTATAACTGTTTGCAGTAATTGTGAATTGTGCATTTGTGTAAATTATTACCATAAATGGAATGTTCATGATTAACTCATAACTCAGAAATTTTTCAGACCTCTGAAGCTAAGCCTGGTTAGTACTGTGATGGGAGACCTCTGGGAACTCCAGAGTGGTGTGGATGTAAAGTGCCAAACTCTCGTTGTGTCCTTAGGCAAGACACTTCACCCACATTGCCTAGAATGAGTCTGGTGTGTGAATGGCTGGTGATGGTTGGAGGGGCAGATGGCACAGACTGGTTGCCTCGCTTCTGTCAGTGTTCCATCTTTGCAACTGCCGTGAACAGATTTACTGCTCTGGTTTGTTGACCTTTCATGGCAAGATTGACTTAAAACATACAACATTCTTGTCCAATACAAATATTCAGGAGCCAAAATCAATGGGGCCGCAGCAAAAGCGGGAGTCCCAGTGGAGCTACTCGCTGCACAGACACTTCCTGTACATTTGTGTGGATCAATGGAAGAAGCAGTGTTTCTTGATATCAGAGAAACTCGAACCAGAATAGAAGGCCTGGTTTTGAGCCTGACAGGTGAACTTCAGCTGAGACTGGGTAATCAAAACACGTTTCTTAACTGATATCAGTCCTATCACAATCAATTAAAAACTGGGATAGAGTTTTAAATTACTTGAATGAAGGATTTCTTACAAGTAATAATAATAACTATGTTATTCGTTTTATAAAGTGCTATTTTGGACACTCAAAGACGCTCCACGTGGCATTAGTCTATCACTCCATACTTTTTTATCCACAGCTGCCCTGGGGCACAGTGACAGAACCGAGGCAACCAGTGTGGTATGTGCAATCGGCCCCTCCGACCACCAGAAACCATTCACACACACCAGACGCATTGTAATGTGGGTGAAGTGTCTTGCCTAAGTACACAGCGACAGTTTGGCACTTTACAGCCGCCCCACTCTCTGGCTGTAAAGTGCCAAACTGCCTCTGAGAAATGAAAGCTTTTCACAGCTTTCATATCCTTCCAAATTATTCAACTGCCCACATGGTTTTATGTCTGTTTGATGTCCGATTCTTGGGTGTATTTTTTGTGTGTGGATAATTTCTCCATTCATAAGATTAATATTTTAATATAATTGTCAAACCACATTTTTCATGGGCACGGCAGCTGCACTGCTCCTGACAGAGGCCTTGAAGGATGGGCCAAATGCAGAGGACAAAGGCAACAATAAAGTGTACCTTAACTGTAATCTTTCCTCGACTGATCACAATTCACTATCTTCTCATCAGGATGGAGAATGTAAATTTGACAATGTTTAAATCTTTCTATAACTAAACCTCTGTTTCTGCCTGTTTCTATGTACTTCTAAATAGTCTGACTCCATATTTTAAAAAGTTGGGTTCAGATACTTAGCCATTTATATTTACTACAGTATCTATAATGTACATGAGTTAAATTATCTTACATAGAAGTAATTGAAAGGGATTTCAATGTTGTATATTTCTCTCTGACGGTCACTTGTCAACAGTCCTGACCTGTCTGTGTATTATGAGCTAAATCCAAATTTAGTGGATTATTTGAGTGCACTGGAAACAGCTGCCACGGCGCCACTCTGCAGCTCTATTTTAACTGAGCTGTGTAACAGAATATGAACGACATACAATCACAGAACTGAGGGCGTTTATGAGCATGCTACTATGGGCTCCCAGCGGGGACAGCATGAAGGCAAAAAAATAAAATCAAAACCAGACAATATGATGTTGTTGTGATAGTCAGAGTAAAAGCATATTCTTTAAATATATCAATTGAAACAAAAACAAGAATTGTAAATGTTGTCAGCAGATGGCATCATTTCCTGAGTCCTTATTGTTCTACCCTGTCCGTGGGATCTGACGCTAACATTAGCCTGCTCCTCCTCATGTGATTCTCTTTGTGGCCTATATTCACTATTGCTATTCCTGGAGCATCGGCCCTCTTATAGACCTTGTTCTTTCTCCTCGGGTGAAATAAATCTAAACCCTCTAAAATGTCTAATTTATCCTATTTTGACATAAAGATTGACAAAAACCATTTCTATTGAATATAATAAATACTTGAATCATCTGGAAATGGGTGGCAGACACTGCAGCATGTGTGTTTCTGGGTGCCAGCGCAGATATAAATTTCAGATGAAAGACGACTGCAGGTTCATCAATGGCCCTCTCTGTTTTTTATAGCCATCCTTGGGGTAGAAATAAGGATAAGTGACCCATACAGTACACTGCTCTGTAAACTTGGGAATGGCCACTTGTTGTTTGTTACTGTATGCCTCATTTGTTCCTGTGGCAAAGCCATTCAGAGCTTTAAACAGAGACCTGCTCACCCAGGGATGTATTATATTATTCACTGAACTGGTCTAGGAACGAATAAATACCTCTCTTTAAATACTAAATACCGCGATAATGTGCAATACTGCAGTTTCAGAATGTCCATTGAATGCCACTTCACTTTCTATATATGTATATTAGGGCTGTCAAAATTATCGCGTTAACGCACATTAAAGCAGCAGTAAGCGATTTGGTCGTTTCCGGCAGTTTCTTCTGCCTGAGCGAGTTAGTAGCCCCGCCCCCGTCCCCTCGTCACACCACATGAACGCGCATCAGCAGTTGGTGATGGCAGCAGCATGTTCATCTCCGTCAGGTCTACTCGTAAGTATATTAACAACAAACTCTGGGAGTGAAATATTAGCATAGAATAGCTCAGTTGTAACCTAGCTATAACACTGGAAGCAGCTTGGTGTTAGCTAGGATAGCATCACTAAGAAAGAGATAAAAACGATCCAGTCTTTTATAGAATAATACTGCTTTTATAGTTGGCACACTGATAACTGTTGTGATAAACATAATGTTGCAGATTGCAGTGTGACGTGTCTCAACATTATGCACTGTAACATCTGTTACAGTGCATATGTATTAGATGAATGTAATGCATATACATAACAACAAAGCTTTACATGAAGGTTATTTAAAGTAATACATTACTGCTTTCCTCACAATTTGTATGTTTGGAGTTCTTTATAGACAACACTGTAGTAATGTATTATGTGAAAGTAAAGCTGCATCTCACTGGAAGCTGCCTTCTCAATGTCACAAAATAAAGATACATTTATTGATGTAATAACATCTGTATTATGTGCTTATTGTTCAGAGAATGAAGACAAAATCAAAGTGTATCAGAGCTGTACAGTGAGATGTGGGACTGAAAAACAATTCCAGTAAAGCTTGTCCGAAACGCAAAAGTACTGTCATAACTAATTACGTTACACTATTACACTGTAAGGAAACTCACCACTTTGAAAGAAAAGCTACAAGTAACAGAATATATAAAGTCATTTGTCATAACAGTTCTTTCAGGAAGCACTGAACGCCCTCTGTCCAGAGAAGCTGATGACCAGATCCTTTCCCTGGTGCGTCTGTGAAAGGTGCCAACAGACATTGAAAACGTGCTTTCCTCAGCGGCCCCCATGGTGCACGTCCTCAGTGGCCCCCATGGTGCACGTCCTCAGTGGCCCCCATGGTGCACGTCCTCAGTGGCCCCCATGGTGCACGTCCACTCTGCAGTTCTGAAATATGTTTGTAGTTGTACTATTTCAAAATAAAAATAAATACATTCACCTCTTTCAATGTGCTTTGTTTTATAGTAGGAAAACAAATACAGTCTGTAACGAGTCTAAGAAACTTTATTATGTAAAAGAAGATTTGAAGTTATAGCCGGAAAAATATACACAATGTCCCTACTAAGACGAATAATTACAAGTGATGGTAAGGCAACGTTTGTGTTATCACTTTTTGCTCAAATGAATAACACTGTTATTATCCAGGTCCTTATCCATCGCTGCTGCAGCGAACACTATCAGAGATATCTAACAAAATGTTAATCTTTATGTTGTAGCTTGTTTGAACACATTTCCTCAAAATAATTCATAAGCAGCCACAAGCACACACAGACACAAGCACACACAGTCACAAGCACACACAGCCACAAGCACACACAGCCACAAGCACACACAGTCACAAGCACACACAGTCACAAGCACACACAGCCACAAGCACACACAGTCACACACAGCCACAAGCACACACAGCCACAAGCACACACAGTCACAAGCACACACAGTCACAAGCACACACAGCCACAAGCACACACAGTCACAAGCACACACAGTCACACACAGTCACAAGCACACACAGTCACACACAGTCACAAGCACACACAGTCACACAGTCACAAGCACACACAGTCACACAGTCACAAGCACACACAGCCACACACAGCCACAAGCACACACAGCCACACGCACACACAGCCACACGCACACACAGTCACAAGCACACACAGTCACACACAGTCACACACAGTCACACACAGTCACAAGCACACACAGCCACACACAGCCACAAGCACACACAAGCACACACAGCCACACGCACACACAGCCACACACAGCCACAAGCACACACAGCCACACGCACACACAGCCACACGCACACACAGCCACACGCACACACAGCCACACGCACACACAGCCACACGCACACACAGCCACACGCACACACAGCCACACGCACACACAGCCACGCTTCAGGGGCCCAGGTTGAAGGAACTGGAGTCTTCCTCTGGCAGAGATTTTCCTTTGAAACACAATAGAAGAGACATCAGTTTTATCTACTCAAATATGACTTTGATATATTCATCATCAACAACATCAGTATTTATTGGTCACCAGGAGTGGCCCCTGATCCACAGGATCCTTGAACATGTTTATTTGGACTGTGAGAGACTGTGCATTGTGAGAGAAAGACACTTACATCGGCTGTTTTGGGAGTCGAGTGATTATCTCACTCCTCTTGATTGTTGAAGAAACTCAGCGACAGTTTTGTCAACACTGACTCCTGGAACATGATGGATATTCATTTTGGACCTCAGGGCAGCAACACAACTGTAGGGATGAACGACACACACATCACAACATCATTATCATCATAATCACTGCGTCTCATATATGCATTCACAACAACCTACATGACAAATGTGGGGTGTAAAGTCTTCCTCAGGAGATGACAATGGCCGATCTTCTAATTCTGGAAGCAAAGTCTTGTCTTCCCAGTCAATACTAGAGAAAGAAGAGGTCAGCAGAAAAGTATCTAGTCGTTATGGCATTGTTTTTTTTTAAATAGTTATTTAACTTGCATTATGGAGGCTTTTGAACTCTTGTACATTGAAGACCTCATTCCAATTGATTTAGGCCATACTGGAAAAGATACAGAGAAAAGAATGCAATGAAGACATGTAAATTACTACAATGTCTATATTATGCTCATAATTTATTTGGTAGTAGTCAGCAAGACTTTTCTTACTTATTCTCAATACATAATAATAAAAATGTATGTAGTGGTCACGGAAGTTAGATTTGAGGTAAAGAGATATTGTTTTTATAACAATAAAACTAATATACAGAGTGCAAGTTGAAAAACTTAGTCATTGAAGAATGAAATGCAGACCTACATATATGTATATATAGTGCAAGCAACTATGTTTATTGGCAAAAACAAACGATTCATACAGATTAGAAGTGTTCGTAGCAGCCACATCATATTCACAACTACAGACAGCTAATGCTAACAGCTAACGCTAATGCTAACAGCGAACGCTAATGCTAACAGCTAACGCTAATGCTAACAGCGAACGCTAATGCTAACACCACTTCACGGGGGAACTCTGGTGATATGGTCATTTAATTTTGTACATGTGGGGAACTAATAATTGACCGGAGTTTATGGATGGCTGAGGCTGGGCTAAGGCTTCGATGTTGTGTTGTCTGTTGTTGTTTCTCAAAGCTAAGCCAAGGTAATGCGCAGTTATTGCCACAAAATGCGGCCGTATTTCTACAACAGCTGGGTATTTTTAACTAGCTAACTTGGTGAAAACCCGCATTACAGTCTCAGGCAACAATATATATAAATAATACAACTACTACTGCCACTACTGAGTAACATGCTCACCTGTTCAGTCGGAGAGAGGAATCCACAGAGCTAGAGGTCGCCAACATGAATGCAGCTGGTCACCATGTTGCTCCTACTTTTTGTCGTTCCTCTGTTTCTGGCGTTTTGCCTGTATTTAATAAATCCATGGTATTTCGTCTGCAGCAGCGCTGGAGGCGGCTTTTCCTTCTCCGCCATGTTTGTTTTGAAGAGTGCGCGTGCACACACGGGAGAAACCCCTTATAAGGCGTGCTCTCTCGTCATTGGATAAGCGCATAGGATGTGAGGTTTTTTTATTATATGCTGCTACTGGGAGCTTCCTACTGCTACTGCTGCTCCTGCTAATGCTGCTTCTGCTGGCTACCGTTACTGCTGCTGCTGCCGCTGCTGCTGCTGCTTCATGTACTTTGACATCTCTCTTCACTTCGCATCTCTTTTACTGAAACACTAAACAGCTACAACAATATTCCTGTGCTTTTATTGCTGTTATTATCTGCGGATGCTGCAGCTGCTGCTGCTTCATACTGCTACTGCTGCTGCTCTCATATGCTACTGCTAAGTGCTTCATACGGCTATTGACTGCTGCTGCTGCTTCATTTACTTTGCCATCTCTCTTCATATCTCTTTTACTGAAACCCCTGAACAGCTACAACAACATTCTACTGCTGTGGCTTTGATACAGAATTATTACTGTTATTTTCTAAGGACGCTGCTGCTGCTGCTGCTGCTACTGCGGCTGCCGCGGCTTGATACAGGACTATTGCTGTTATTATCTGAGGTTACTGCTGCTGCCGCTGCTGCTACTGCTACTGCAACCCACTCTCTCAGAAGCTTATCCTGCTTCTAATGGATGCTGCCCGGCTGAGTATGCCGCGCTGCGCCGGACTCGCACCTATGCTCCCAGGGTCGCTTCGGCGGTCGTGCTTCATCTCTCTACTTAATCTTCTGATCCATCAGATGCAGCTGGCCAAGTAGCTGCGCTGAGCCGTCAATCGGACTCCTAATCAAAGGCATCCATACCTGTATTCTTCACTCTTCTGATCGCAGGCTCCCCATCATGCTGCCCATCCTGCAGCGGCGCTGAACTCCGGCTCATCTTCCAAGTACATGTCTGCCCTCCTCGCAGCATCTTCCTGCTCGCCTTCTATGGCTTCTCTGCATAAGCGTCTCACCATTGCTCACTCAACCTTCATGCGGTCCGAGACACGGCTTTCCCGACCATCCTACTATCCTGATTATCTACTCTCCAACCAAGATTCTAAGCGTAAGGGCGCTGCAACATCAATGGCCCTCTCCGATATGTCTCTGCCCCTACAGGTCTCCGCTTCTACACGGACGCTGCCCCTTCCGTGGGTTTTGGGGGATTCTTCCAGGACCATTGGTTTGCCGAGCGTGGCCGCTACTTTCCACCGGAGCATCTCCTCTGCCCTACACGAGATTCCCAGTGGTCGTGGCTGCGCGCTGTGGAATCACACGTGGCAGAGAAATAGGATCTCTGTCATGTGTGATAATCTCGACGTAGTGGAAGCATTAAACAAAGGTCGCTCTTTTTCACCCAACATAATGTCCCCTGACCATTTCAACCTCCGTCTCAAACATTCAAAAATCAAAGGAGCCTGCAATATAGTAATAGCTCGCTCGGACACACTCTCTCTGCCCCTACAAATCCATGATGCGTTACACTCGCCTCCGCTGCAAAAAGGAGATTTTAACGGACCTCTCTTTCTCACTCCAGACATTCTTCCCATGACAGCAACCTGGTTCAGAGCTCAACTAAGATCCCTACTGCTCCTCTGTAAATTGTCTCCCCAGCTCTACACAGCCCACTCTTTCCGGATAGGCGCTGCCACGCGCGCGGCCTCGCTGGGGCTCCCCCACACTCTCTGCAACAGCTGGGGCGCTGGTCCTCTTCGGCTTTCTCCACCTACATCAGGCCAGACGCGTCCGCCATCCTGGCTGCACAACGTCTACTGGCTTCCTCGTAAGCTCCCAGCAAAGCAATACAAAGCAAAGTAAGGGAACCAATAGGATTTCTGGTGGCGGCACGCACTTTTAAAGATAACTCTGCTACAGCGTCTGGTACCGATCGTGATGCGAGCGCTCACGTCCCAGGCAGCGTCCGGTTGATCGTGATGCGAGCGCTCACGTCCCGGCGCTTAAAGATAACTCTGCTGCAGCGTCTGGTACCGATCGTGATGCGAGCGCTCACGTCCCAGACAGCGTCCGGTTGATCGTGATGCGAGCGCACACGTCCCGGCGCTCAAAGATAACTCTGCTACAGTAACTCTGCTAGCGCGTCTGGTATCGATCGTGATGCGAGCGCTCACGTCCCAGACAGCGTCCGGTTGATCGTGATGCGAGCGCGCACGTCCCGGCGCTCAAAGATAACTCTGCTACAGCGTCTGGTATCGATCGTGATGCGAGCGCTCACGTCCCAGACAGCGTCCGGTTGATCGTGATGCGAGCGCGCACGTCCCGGCGCTCAAAGATAACTCTGCTACAGTAACTCTGCTACAGCGTCTGGTATCGATCGTGATGCAAGCGCTCACGTCCCGGCGCTCAAAGATAACTCTGCTACAGTAACTCTGCTAGCGCGTCTGGTATCGATCGTGATGCGAGCGCTCACGTCCCAGACAGCGTCCGGTTGATCGTAATGCGAGCGCGCACGTCCCGGCGCTCAAAGATAACTCTGCTACAGCGTCTGGTATCGATCGTGATGCAAGCGCTCACGTCCCAGGCAGCGTCCGGTTGATCGCGATGCGAGCGCTCACGTCCCGGCGCTTAAAGATAACTTCACCGCAGCGTCTGGTACCGATCGTGATGCGAGCGTTCACGTCCCAGACAGCATCCGGTTGATCGTGATGCGAGCGCTCACGTCCCGGCGCTCAAAGATAACTCTGCTACAGCGTCCGGTCGATCGTGATGCGAGCGCTCACGTCCCGGCGCTTAAAGACAACTCTGCTACAGCGTCTGGTATCGATCGTGATGCGAGCGCTCACGTCCCAGGCAGCGTCCGGTTGATTGTGAAGCGAGCGCTCACGTCCCGGCGCTTAAAGATAACTCTGCCGTTTTTGGGGATTATGCGCGCGAGCAAGCGCCGCACTCAACAGCATCTCTCCCGGGCCTAGGGCGCCAAACATACTCAATCAACAAACTTCTAACTGCATTTTCCCTCTTGGGTCTCTCCAAAGTGAAATGAAGCTCTTCGCGAAAGTTTCACTGTGGTAGACCCGGCCACTGCTGCCAGATCTACAAGCCTGCTCATCCTCTACTCATTACACCAGCAAACGCCCACATCTAATCCACCAATAACCACCAGGACAGCAAGTTAAAAGCCGGAGACGCCCACTTCCGGCCTTCTGAAGTTTGCAAAGCCTCCACCGCCCCACCTCCTCCTTCTATCATCGAAGAGTGCTTGCCTACTGCCTCTGCCGTCACCAGTGCCAAGGCCCGGGGGGGATTATGCGCGCGAGCAAAGCGCCGCACTCAACAGCATCTCTCCCGGTGGGCCTAGGGCGCCATACATTACTCAATCAACAAATTCTAACTGCATTTTTTTTACCCCTCTGGGTCTCTCCAAAGTGAAAAATGGAAGGTGAACAAAGTTACTGTGAGGGAAATTTACAAAGACAGCCGAAGATCACTGCTGCAAACAGATGATTTGGGCGCTATGAATGGCTATTATATGCATCTGCACATTTTCACCAATTGTATCAATTCAACACATACTGTCGAGTGACAGAATGGTAATAAAAGACAAAATATGTTTAAACAGTGCAGGATTTCAGGGTCCAGACCTAGATTCATGATATGATATGATATGATCAGGATAGCCTGGTCGTACCACCACCATAGTAAGTAAGTAAGTAATGTTTAGTACAAATGACATTTCGTACTAAGGTCTGGAGGTGCTCCATGGAGCTCAGTTAACAGGTGGGAGGGATAACTCCTTTTTCAGATTGAAACAATTGGATCTGAGTTTACCGTCACGTATGTATTGCGCCCAAGTGCGTTGTTTGCATTTAGCAAAGCCCGTGGGGAGTAGCGCCACAATCTTTGCCAGAAATGACTTTTGTTATACATTCCTGTTACTCCTGCTTCAATTTCTTGATAGAACCAGACCTGAATACTTTACTAGCGCATTCTTCGCCATTGTCAAACTACAACCTGACCGTTTGGCGCAAACTCTTGACGTCACCCACATCTAACTGCAACAGCCGCCTCCCGCGCTCGTTGAT